ATATATTTTCTGACTGGATTTCTTTGGGAAACAAGAAATGGACATTGCATTGTGGCTAATATTTTCCTGGAGTTTTTGCTGCGCTCTGCACAAACAGGAGTGTTTGTGATTATCACTCTGCCCGACAATATGATACTTTCCTACAGGGTAGCTGTGTTAGTTTGTTAAAGTAAAGCAACAAACAGTCTTGCACACTTTAATTTATTATAGCACGCAGTACAGTTTTTATCATTTGTTGTACTGGGTCATGAAATCTTATGCTATAGTAAATTTGTTAATCTGAAAGGTCCCATATAACTCTTTATTAAATTCAAATGTGTAGCAGTAGATGTAACACTGAATCCATGTTATAAATACTGAAAATTCATTTGACAATAATATTTACTTTGGATCTACTATGATTTTTATTTTAATATGTACTAATCCATAAGAAACCTCCTTCACAAATCTGATATTCTGCTGCCATCTTGTGGCAATTGGGTTTTCATATTTTTACCTGTCAAAAATTGTTTGTTTGTTTGTTTTTCTGAATTACACCATATAGCCTTTTCCAGATGAAAGTACAGACCCAAGAATGGAGCAGAATGATCCCCATGACACCATCAGTGGACATGTGCAATTACACTGGGTCCCAATTTCATTTAGCCTCTCAATGTGCAACTAAAGCAAGTAGAATCAGAGATCTGGCATAGTTGAACACATGCAAGAATGTAGGGTGTGACAGGTGGGGTTATCTTGCCCTGTTGATGGATCTACAGCCCTATCTGGAAGGACTCTATCATTACATTGGTGATCATTTTTTCTCCCCTCCCTCTGCCCCCAACACACAAACTCATATAGATGTAAGAGTTGGAAAAGACCATTTAAGACCTTTAGTTCAACCCTTCGAGGTGCGAATCCAAATAAAGTAACCCCAATAGACAGCTGTCTAGCTTCCCCTTGAATACATCCAGTGAAGGAGAGCACACCATCTTTCTTAGTAACTGGTTCCACTGTCAAACTGCTCTTATTGTTAGGAACTTTTCTAACATTCAAAAAACCCCATATACCTTTTCATCTCTGCTTATGTACATATATTACATATTGAAGTTGAAAATTTCATTCTGAGAAGGCTAAGTCTTAAGCCCAAATGACATGATAATGGCAAACTTATTTCTGAAGTTGCACCATTTCAGTATTGTATCAAAAAGATCCCATATGAAAAACTAGCTTTCTATGGGCCCAGACCTTCGTTACTGTATTCAAATTTCCTATAATTAATTAATTAAATAATGGGCTGTAAGCATAAATCTCTACCTTAGGGTGCCCACTTTCACAATGCCATCTTATTCCTGGAACAGATATATCAGCATGAATTGGAATAACCTATTATAGCATTAATGTGGAGGTCTAGCTGGTGTTTCTCAATCTCACCAACTTTAAGATGTCTGGGTTTCAACACCCAGCGTCCCCCAGCCAGCATCCTAGCTTGGGAATTCTGGAAGATGAAGTCCACACATCCTAAAGTTGCAGGGGTTAAGAAACTCTTGTTGCCCAAACAATTGCTAGGCTATGTTTTCTTTGTTGCTAAATAAAGGGAATACATGGCCTATAACAACATAGACATGGTTTCATCAGGACTCCGCAAATCAGGAATTTGGTCCAGCTGAAAACAAGCATTGGATAAGTGTGTTCTAGGGAGAAACTCACAGGGAAGAACGAATACAATTTATAAAATATTTTCCAGACTACTAGGTTCATGCCATTAGTTGGGGGGTCTGGCTGCCTTTAATTGAGAACACTTCTACATTGCCTTTGCTTCAACTCCTCAGTCCTTCAGAAGCACTTTGAAGACAATCTGTAAACTTCTTCAAATGTGCTGAGCTCAACCTTCTTAGAGTAAAGAGTAAAAAATACTGCTGAATGTTTTGGAGTCATATAAAACCTTGGGATTTTCATTTTTCTTATACTCCTGTAAAAGGAACATAAAAATGTTTTCTCTCTCCCTATCTACATAGTTACTTCACATTCTGTGTGTTTGTCTAGTCCTATATATGGAAAGTCCTATGAGGGACCTACTAAGCCATCAAACAACCTTTCCCCAGGAAAGACCTGAAATCTTGGGCCAAAAAGGGTGATGAGGCAGGAATTCATGCAAATGGAGAAGTAGATTACCCATAAGCTCCACAGAACATATATATAAAAGACTTGAAATTTCAAATACCCCTCAAAAATAAATTAGCTCTGCTTGCTAATAGAGTCAGTGTCACAAGAACGTAGAATTCCAGAGTCTTTAAGTGGAAGTGCCTCAGGCAAATGAGCGATGACATCCAGGAAGTTAGTAAAGATTAAGAGAGATGGGGCAACTTAATACCTCTGCCACATGTTCAGCAAAAGTGTGAGAAAACATTGCCTCTCCCCAAGATGAAAAGCAGAGAAAGTCAGCTATGGAGAAAAAGTAAAGATTTGTTTAACACAGGCTCAAAAAGATGCAGAAAATGGTAGAAAGGGTATCATATTTTTAGGCTGAAACAGATTCAAACAATGCTTATAGGATGGCAGGAGGCCTATATTCCAGTTCTAGATGCAATATCTAAAAACTAGCGCAGACCTTGAAATGTTGGACTCCTCAGATATCCCTGTGCACCATGTGAGCCAAAGGCTTTGCTACCCAGAGAACTCCCTCTCCCTCTCCCTCTCCCTCTCCCTCTCCCTCTCCCTCCACATATTCATTATGGGGAGGGAATCTCTCTGAGAGAGAGAGAGAGAGAGAGAGACTGGAGAAGGAGGGAGAGAGACTATGTCTAGTCCCACCAGAGACGAGAAGATGTTCTGGAGTGTTCAGTAATCATGAGGCAGGCAGCCCAGGTCACAACAGTCAGTATGTCTGGGGTGTCAATATAAAGAGCCGGTCCTCTTCCTTACGGATCCACTTCATCAGCTTGTTGACAGCGCTGACAGCTGCTGCTTTGGTACCCAGGGGGCTGAAACATACGTAGAGTTCAAAAGCACTAGTCACCTGGAAAAAGTTTAAATCTCCATTACTAGATGGAACTGGAGCAAAGCAACTCCTCTCATGTTACTCTTGATATACAAAACAAACCACCCTCCTGTTTTTACTGATATAAATAATTGTTGCCATGTTTCATTGGGCCCTTTGGTGTAAGTGAAGAAGTGTGCAAAGTTTCAGTTGGTCTAATACACTAATACGTTTCCCAGATAAAGTTATTCTGCTCTAGGTCCTGCTTTTACTACAATTTTTCTAGAAGCTGCAGCAATGAAATAAATTCTTACCCAAGCCAGGAGATTTTCATTTGATCCAGTATAATAGATGTTATTTAGAGGATGGGAGGAATTGTGAGCTCGGCTATGTAAGTACTGATACAATTCCAGAAGTCTTTCTTTTTCCTCCTCAGTGATGTAGGGAGCTTCAATCTCTGGGCTGGAAAAACACACTTTCATTGAGTTATGCTTTTTGTCATAAAGGTCAGTTAAATAACTATTTCTTTGCCTAAGAGAGTAAATCACTCACTTTGGCAGAATTTACAGCCAGTGATTTTGCTAAATAATGTTTTTCCTCTCCCCCCAATTTTCTGATGAGCTATCATTAAAACAGAATATCTAAATATTAGAGCTGAAAGTCTATTAATACCAAATACTGTTGAGAATTGAGATCAGGACTTTGTTTAGAACAGAAGTGCTTAACCTGTATCTCTAGGGTCACATGTGTCTCCCAAAGCCTCAGGTAGAGACTTAGAACCCCTCCAAAAGTTGTTGCCAAGTTGCTTTTTTTTTAAGATTTTTTTTTCATTTCAGTACAATGATATTTATACGATATAATTACAAATTCTTAACATTCCAACAAAGCGTAAAAATGTGGCTATGTCAGATGGCCTGGGGATCTGAAGGGGGCTTGCACTGTTGGAATTGGTTGGTGGGATGATCAATACTACTCCCCCCTTCATCTTAAATTGTATATAAGCTTTTATATAGAATTGTTACTAGTTATTTTAATGTGGATATTTATATTTTTTTATTGTTTCTATTGTTTTGAATTTTAATTGTAAGCCACCCAGAGTCACCCTCTGGGGGAGATGGGCGGCATATAAATTTAATAAATAAATAAATAAATAAATAAATTCTATTATTTATATAACTTAGAGTATTGGAAATAAAGAAAAAAAAGATATTCTATCAATATTAGCTACAATTTAGGATATCAATGTTATAAGCATTAAATTTTTTTGGCTTTTTCAATTCAAAGTTAAGCAGGGAAGGAAAAAATAGAAAAAGAACATGTTCCAACTTGCATCAAGGTATTTGTTATATCAGGGAAGGAAAAAATAGAAAAAGAACATGTTCCAACTTGCATCAAGGTATTTGTTATATCAGGGAAGGAAAAAATAGAAAAAGAACATGTTCCAACTTGCATCAAGGTATTTGTTATATAATGAAAGGTTTTGATTTTGAGGTTAAGACTGAAACCTTTATTATATAACAATTACTTAATATTTAAATCTCCATTGTATTATTACTTGATGTATATATGTATATGTATATGTATATATGTACTGTATGTATGTATGTATATTTTTTCCAAATTGTTGTTTTGATGTCATAGAAGGGAAAAACATTATATAAATTTAATTTAATCCATTTTAATTCTCCCTGATTTTGCCTGGTTCTTTCTCCTGGTCTTGTCTACTTTTTGCGTGGGCCTCAGCACACCATTTGAAGGTAACGTGTAGTCTGTGATCCAACAAACCTGGAGACCTCTTTGCACAAGCTGTATGTAGACATTTGTATACAGATTGTCCTTAGGTGGAGCAACAGGGTATTCTGCTCTGTGTAACGTTCAGGTTTTTTGTTTTATCCCAGAAGAGACTACTAGACTGGAAGGACAGACTTGATAAGTATCCCCCACTGTCAGGTCAGGAAAAGGATTCTACAAACATATTTTCAAAGTGTATCTACCGTATTTACCTACCTCTTCACAATAAATTCTTAGGTGCAATTTGGATTGGACTCTTGAGTATATGTATAGTCTCCTGGAAGTGGGATTAGACTATTCAACTAGGCAACAAACTCTATGGCAAAACTAGGTTCATGGGCACTGCTGTTCCCATAGGATTATGCAATAATCCCCACTGTCTTTGTCATTTGTAGCACCAGTTGGCTACCCATGTTAACTTTTCATTGCTGCTCCCTGAAGTAGCTATATGATGGTATAAGTATCCATGATCTGATGGACCACCCACAGGGTTTTGAAATCTGGCCAGCATAAAACATCAACAAATTATTAGCATAATTGTTCAGATACCTATAACTCAAAAGACTGAGTTGATTTTTGATTCCTAGAGGCCTACTATACATTGCAATTTGTAATTTAATCTATTTTATGAATTCAGCAGGAGCTTGATGTCTCAAGGCTAAATATGGATGCCTTCCTCATTGGAATATACTATCCAACACAGATTAAGTTGATCTCATCAACACAGATGAAATCAGTTTCATAACACAGGTTAAATCAATCCCATCTATCGACTTCAGCAGAGCACTAGAGAGAAGCTGGAAGAGGGTGTTGCCCAGAAGGGACTCTCACCTGGTAAAAAGTCCTGAACTCTTAGATTTGTAGATGAAATGTCGAAGGTCTGGGATTCCCACTTGGGAGACACTATAGAAAGGAGTACGCAGTGCTTCCAAGAGAGCATGATGAACACCACGCTTCTTTAGGCGTTCTTGGAACCTTTGCTTGCAGTGAGATACAGTAAAGAAGTCCTCACGGTCAGTAGAAATCAGGAGAAGGCACAAGTCAATGTTTGGTTCTAAATAAGAAATGTGAGCATGGAAGAAACCATTGGAATTGAACTTGGGAAGACATATTGGAGTCCAAGCTTCTCCTTCTCTAAATGAGGAGGATGAGCTAATGAGATTAAAGAGTAAATGGAGATCTATTGGATGTAGGAATTGGTCCTTTTTCCTCACGAGAGATACTAATTGGTTCTTTGACAATAAGATGGCAAATACCAGGCTTTTAGCTTTGGCTTGTTGGAGGCAAGCACTCACCACATCCCTGACTCCAGCAGCCATAGGCAGGCAACGTGCTGCCCCCATGAGAAAACTGGGGTCTCTAGCCATCAGGTCTACCAAGTTGTCAGTTATACGCTCAGAGCCTGCTAGCAGTCTCCTTAGATCATAGTTCTGCTTCTGTTGGAAGATGTGGTTAAGCTGAGTCAATGTCAAGAGACTGACAATCTGGTAATAGATATAAAGGAGTTCTTGAGCAATTTCTTGCTCTGACTGACGAGTCTGAGCCACCGCAACAAGCACCAGGGGACTCTTGCGCACAAAGACCACTTTGTATCCATCTGGCAAAGAAGCAAAATGGAGAGGGAGAGAATGAGAGAAAGTACATCAATATTTTGAGTTACAGTGGTAAGCCTAAGGCCCTTTTCAAAAGCAGTTATAACTTCAGTGAGGGCTACTCTTGGGAACTGTATGTCCTACTCTAGCCATTTTCTGATATATGATTAGTCTTTGCATGCAAGGGATATTTTATGAACCTCTACCTGCAGTTTGAAGCGGTACAGTCTACAGGTTTACTAGTTCTGTGAAAAGTAGACCTAAATAAGAATTAATGAAAAAGATTCTTAGGTTTTGAAAAGTTGTTACCTATGAAGTTTTGACTAATTCTCTTCCACCTGTAGGTTGGCCACCAGCATCTATTTTAGCAGTCTAGTCATGTTCTTCTGTTCAGACATGAATTTCGATCAGTTATAATACAAATTGACTTTGGACCTGCTTTTTACAGAAACATCCTATTTTGTTAATCTAGTCCCTACCTGATGTGAGCTTCTAAACTGAAGATGAAATAGCATATTGTCAAATTTAGCCAAATTACAAAAGCATTTCTGATTGTTTTGTGTAAACTCAGCACTTTCAGCCAATAATTACTAAAGGCCACGTCTAACATTTCCCAGTACTGTCAGGTTAGCAAGTAGCACCAAGACAGCTAGAGTCAATGCCATATTGATATCTGCAAAAGACATTGCACTCTCATTTCTTCTGTCTTTTTCTCATATCTTCTCATATTCTATTTTCCAAAAGCAAGACCAGGCAAATAACAGTAGCCTACTGGGTCAGGAAGAAGTGTGTGAATTAGTACCTGCATGAATAGATCTGATGGCATTCTTCTCTGCTTCTACAAAGGAGACTAGAGCCATCATTACTCCCATGGTACTTGACAAAGCCTCTTCACACCCATAGCGTGAGTATACTGGCTTGCCTGCCTCACTTAGAACAAAGATATGCTTCTGGTGCATGCGCCAGGCTTCCATAGTTATGTCTTCTTCTTCTTTTCCTGATAGGACTGAATCCCGACGTGAAGCTTGTGGTGAAAGTTCCAACTTGCCCTCATTGTTCTGCCTTATCTCTTCTTCCAGATCCAATGCTATACCAGTAAGTTGTGTGCTTAGCTCACTGAAATCCTTGCTGATCTCTTCCATCTTGATCTCATCTCGTTGAGGCTCTTCCCTCTCATCTGGGCTCTTGGGGGCTGATTCTGGATTGTCTGTACTGGTTAGGTCCTCATATGACTTGGTGTGAACAAATATGGCTCCCTCTTGGCCTGCCCCTGATAAAAAATACCAGAATAATTGGTCAGTTTTTCAGAACAGAGCTAGGCACTAGTTTAAGCTGTGACAAAGGCATCAGAAGAGAATGATTTGCAAAGCTCCTCAATGCATAGGCACGCACAAGATGATAAATAAATCAAGGCTTTCCTTACCTTGTGCTAAAATTTCTGTTTCTGTGCTTTATGTTAACTAAGGAACAAGGGGTCAGTAGTAGATTACATTTATTTTAATGAATGTGCCATACCATCCTTAAACCATAATGGATGCTCTTCCTTTGAAAGGAAGGTAAAACATTTCATTTTAATGGGATAACTGTAATATCTGAGCTTGAAACTCTTTGATTTTGATTCAGGGACTTGAAATTCATTATCTGTCTTTCTTCCTTAAGTAGGGCATGTATATTCTTTAGGTACATTCAGTGTTTTAGTCAAAGAAGCCTGGATTTATTGAGTATTTTAAAGCAGTCAAAGAAGAACAGAGCATTAAGCTCCCAACAATAATTTGAAATCAAGTTGAGAATTTCAGAATACAGAGTCCTAGATTCACAGGAATATGACCCATTAATCAGAAACAGTGGTTTTTATGCTATGGAAATATATGGGATTGGAATTCTGTCATAATTATTCTCAGCAGTCTAGATTATCTGCCCATGTATTATTCTGGATGATTTTTTCCCCCAGTGCCATGCAGAAATTAGCTCTGCTTTGTAGTTTATTTTATCTTATCTTGCATAATTGCTGATATTTCTGATGTATATGCTTGGAAAAATTTATATTATTCTTGCCAATAAAACCCAGGCAAGTGACCACATTATTTAATGTCACCCTGAGACTAGGGTTTTGGATGAATGAATTTAGTGGATTTTTAGATTTGATCTAATCATAGGTTTATAACTTTGCCATCTGCAGTGGCTGCCCATCTATTTCTGGGCCCAATACAAAATGTTCACACATTAACCTATAAAATCTAAACAGCTTGAGGTCAGGCTATCTGAAGCAGCTTCTCCTCCTATAACTTTCCAGTAAGGCAGAGCAGGTGGCTATCAGAGAAAGAGTCTTTTTTTTCTGGTTTGCATAGAATGCTCTCTCCAGAGAAATTAACCTGATGCCTACATTATGACAGTTTTGACACCAGGTAGGAATCTTACTTTCCTAGGCATTTGAGGAATCGTATTGGCATTTTCGAATGTTAGCGTTTTGTTGTCATTTTCGTGCAACTGCATGCTGCATTTATTGCTCCTCCTGATTGTACTGGTTATGCTGTTCTCTATGTAGGTTTTACTTTAGGAATGATTCCCACAGAGGATTCCTTGTGGAAAATATATCACTTGCCTGGGTTTTATAAGCAAGAATAACGCTTTCTGGCTGATGTCCTGTTCTTCTTAGTAAACTATCACTGTACAGAAGTTCTTCCCACTCACACAGCAGATATTCATTAAAAATATCAGAAAAAGAGGAAGGTCTTACTATCTTCTAAAATAGAACTGATCATAATGGGCATGCAGACTCTGTCTGAATATATGAAATACATGAAGAAAGAGTGAACGGATCAACAGGAGGGGAAAGATTAAGAAAGGTGTGCTTAAATGGAGTTGATGAGGTTCTCAAAAAGAGAGAGGTGAGAATTTTAAAGAATAAAAGGCAATGTATGAAGCAGTGAATGGGCATATTAGAAACAATAATGGTTTGCAAGAATAGAAAGGTAAACTGAAGTATAATGAATGGTGTTAGTGTTAACTAGGTTTACTTATATTACCTTTTCCTTGTCTCATTCCTTAATTTCTTTGGCTTTCTACTTCTTACTCCATTTCTGAGTTTGGCATAGCTCTATTTACCTCCCCCACCCCAAAAAAGAAAAGCATGAGAGAGAGAGTGTGTGTGTGTGTGTGTGTGTATGCATCATAATAATATTATTCCACACAAAATGCACAATATACTGTCTACCGTAACTTACCTGGTTCTGTTCCCTGGGTCAATCCTGGGGTTGGACTCTCTGACCTCTCAGACTGCTGTCCATCTTTTGGGACCAAGGACCCATTCGGCACATCACCCTTCTTCTTATAAACATCAGCAGCCATTATTAGAAACTAGTGGAGATCTGCAAGCAAACAAACCAAACCTATTAACCTTTATTGTCCTGATTTATTTATTTACAGGACTTACATGGCTGCCTATCTCATATAATGACTCTAGGCAGCTCACAATAGTCCCTAAATCCAGCTTAGAACTCTCCAACTTGAATTAATAATCAAGTACATTTGAGTTTCATTCTATTATACTAACTATATTAGGGCATTGCCAGAGCAGAAACACTTTAGTATAATTAATCTTTTTAGTATGAAGAATGTAAACAGATCTATTAAACAGTCTGTTTGCACAGGTCATTTTCCCATGTTAACTGATCTGTCAATCCAGTTGCTTGAGTTCACATGAACACTGAACTAAATATAAGGGCTATAAATTAAACGTAAGAGCTGAATTTGCTTAATGCTCCATGTTAAAATGTGACTAGCTAAGTTTGTACTTCGACAGGTTGTATGAATATAACCAAAACCTTCTTTAATTTCTTCTGCTCCACGTGTGAGAAGGTTGGCAAAATATCCAGGAACGAACTGATCAGCCCAATGGATTTCAGATGAAATGTCCTTTCTTTCTTCTTCCTCCCTCTGGCCATTGGAAAGTATATCTAGCATAGAGTGGCTTGCTCAGCAACATCCTATAAACTTATAGCTAAGCAGATCTTTGAATCAAACCAATTTTCAGAGACCTTAGTGACTTCTCCTGGGGCTTATCTCAGGCCTGCAATTTCTTCTGCTGGCTTAACAAGATATCGAGTCGTTT